CACGCTCCGGAGAAATACCTCCCACTCTACGCGTGACCCACATCCGACGCGTGCCGTCGCCAGTTTCAGTCTCCTCCTGCCCATGGTTTTTTTTCTGGGTCCCAAGCACAGAAGATAGACAGAGAGCCGCACGCCTCACCTCCCCCCACCCCCACCCCCATCCCCCGTCACCCCGGGACCCTTTAAACTTCCCCCTTAGGTTTTTAGGAAGTTGGGGCGTCTAGTCCTGTGGATGTGAACACACTTAACGAGGCTGTTTACAGGTCAGGACGCCCTGGTGACAGCCTGATGGATGGAGCTTTGGGGTCTGGAGCAGCTCCTTGCTTCAAGTCACATGCTTTCCTGGAGAATATGGGCTTTATCTTTTCAGACAACCACCAGCTAGGGCTTGGGTGGCGTGCCCTAGGTTGATGAGGTCCCCTGGGGACTTGTTTTGCAAGTCATTTGTAAATGACAACTTGGTTTAGTACTGGCTGTCTTTTCCCTCATCTTACTACAAGACGTGTTGGGGGGCGGGGGGTGGGTAGGAAGATGGGATGGCCAGAGAGGGACAAGCCTCACGTCCCCGGAAAACAGGACCTTGCACCGTGCAGAAGGCTTCCTTGTGATTCATCCATGTTTAATCTGTGGTTAGAAAGCTAATAAAAGCTCGGAGGTTGAAACCCACCCCATCCACTCCTTCATTGTTGTGGAGAAAATATCATTGAATGAGAATTTTCTGTTCTGATGCTCTTTCCCCACCTTACATAATTTTTAGTCATCACCTTGGCACTTGAGTCCTGAGAACTTAACCCTTATTTTCACATGCTCATATCTAGAATATTAATTCTTTTTAGAGTGTTTAAGCAAAATTGAGAGATCACAGAAGACAAACCTGCGGACATTCTAAATGCATAGGGGGCCTGGCTTTCAGTCATCTAACACATTTGAGGTTGTGAAGCCTTTTTTTAGTCTCATCCTAGAAGTTGAGTTTTTCAGATTCATGGTGATAGATGAGAGGACTGGGTGACTTCAGTCTTTGTTTTCTTTTCTTTTAAAAAAAATATTTATTGATTTTCTACAGAGAGGAAGGGGGAGGGATAGAGAGCTAGAAACATCGATGAGAGAGAAACATCGATCAGCTGCCTCCTGCACACTCCCTACTGGGTATGTGCCTGCAACCATGGTACATGCCCTTGACCGGAATCGAACCTGGGACCCTTGAGTCCCCAGGCCGGCGCTCTATCCACTGAGCCAAACCAGCTAGGGCCAGTCTTTGTTTTCTATTTTAGTTTGAGTCAACATATCCAGGCATCTCAGCTTGAAACTTCTCATCTTGAGTTTGTTTGCATTGCTGTTGTTTTATTTCTTCAAGAATATTACTAGATGATGTCTAGTAATGTAGACATCATCTACATTACTATATCTTCAAAATAGTAATGTAGATGATGTCCATGACTGCTGCTGATGAGCTTGTGTCTCTTTGAACTCAGCTCAATTGGTTGAAGCAGGGAAGAACTATATTTAGCAGAAATTTGGGGATGGACAAGGTTTTGGTGGTATTTTAATACAAATAAAATATTTTTTACATGGTTCAGTATTTATTAGCTATAGAAATTCAGTGGATAAGTTCATTTCTCCTGAAGCATATTAGCTACCAAACAAAAATCTTGCCATTATATATATATTATATATATATAATATATAATATATATTATATATATGTAATATATATATTATATAATATATATATATATATATATGTATACACACACACACACACACACACACACACACACACATTAGAGGGTTTGTACTGTTTGGGGTACAATTTTTCAGTCAGGTCGCATGTAACAGTTAATAGATTCTCAACATCTTTAGCCTGTGTGCTTAGCAATCCAAAAGAGTAATCCAACCTTTTTGGTTTTGGTTTTTGTCCACCATTACTTTTAAAATCTGAAGTAAAGATGTGGTAGATAAAAATTATTAGAACGTAAAGAAAAAAGTTTTGGTTATTTCATCTGTTTATTTGGTATGGTTTTCTGAATATTATTTCTATACCATCAGGTGAGCAAAGAAAATAAGAGTTGCAATTTAGGTGTTGAATAACAAATATTTTCTTCCAGTTCTCGGAAGCTTCCTCGTAAGGCGACTATATATGGATGGAGCTCAGGAAATAAGGGCAATGCGAGATAGTGTCAGAAAGGCAGTGACTCATAACTCATGAGGGCTTTTAGATAGAAGGAAAGAATTTTAGTTAAAAAAACATCATTTAGCCTGGCTGGTTTGGCTCAGTGGTTGAGCATCGACCTATGAACTAGAAGGTCGTAGTTCAATTCCTGGTCAGGGCATATGCCCAGGTTGCGGGCTTGATCCCCAGTAGGAGGGTGTGCAGGAGACAGCCGAACAATGATTCTCTCTCATCATTGATGTTTCTATCTCTCCCTCTCTCTTCCTCTCTGAAATTAATAAAAATATATTTTAAAAAACACATCATTCTTATGCCAGGCACTGATTTGTATAGGCATTGGGTATCATTTGTGGACAAAGTGGATAAAATTCCTGCGTTAGTGGAGCTCACATTAAGCAACTCTGTAGTATGGTAGGAGGTCTTAAATGCCATGGAACAAAGTAGAACAGGGTGAAGAGGTTTTTTTGGATAGGAAGGTGAGGTAGATTAGGTAATCCCCAGAGGGTGTCCAGATAATCTGCAGCAGTTACGCCTTTGTGTAGCTTTTGTACAAATGCTCAGAATAAATTTGCACTGCATATGTAGATCTGACTGGGACAAAGCTGTGGTTGTGCTGCAAATTGGCCTCCATGCACCTTCAGATTGAGCTAAACTCCCAGATGGTGCCCAGGGGACCTTCACAGCAACCTAATTTAACTTTGTAGACTCAAATTTTTAAACACAGCTTCAGGACCTGCTGTGAGCTGTAGGCATTGTGCAAGAAGTGGGACTTCAGAGCTGGTAGACAGTTTATACAGTTTATAAATAGTCCTCTATAATAGATGTAATACAGTCAGAATATGGAGCAGTTTGATTTGGGCTGAGGGAAGGTTTCATGAACAAAGTGGTGGATATTTAATGGATGATATAACAAGTGTTCTCTAAAAGGGCAAGGGGAAACGGGAGATTTCAGTCAGAGGAAACATGGAGGCCTGAAATTGCCTGTGAATTCTCCATTTTCAGGTTTGTCCAAGAGGCTGTTGAATTTTGAAGCTAATTTTGGCCTAATTATTGTCCATGATAGAATTGAAACACAGTCTCTTGACTTAAGAGTTTTTCCTCTCCTGACATTTTAAGCATATAAAATTCAGGGAAATTTAGGATCAGAGTGAGTTCTTAACAGTCATTCAAAAAGGGTGTTGAGCCCTGACCAGTTTGGCTCAGTAGATAGAGCATCGGCCTGCGGACTGAAAGGTCCCAGGTTTGATTCCGGCCAAGGGCATGTACCTTGCTTGCAGGCACATCCCCAGTAGGAGGTGTGCAAGAGGCACCTGATCGATGTTTCTCTCTCATCGATGTTTCTAACTCTCTATCTCTCTTCCTCTCTGTAAAAAATCAATAAAATATATTTAAAAAAACCACACAACAAAAAAAACAAAAAGGGTGTTGAGTGTTCTCTGTGTTTCTAGCATTTTTAAATTGCACGTATCTTCCGACTGATGGAATTCCACAGAAACAAGTGACTTGGAACAGAGTTAAAACTAATACAGCTAACTTTAAAATGCAAGTCTGTAGGAAAGGTGGTTTAGGGATGAGAAGGAATATAAACCAGGTTTATTTCTGTGTAAGAAGAAACAAAGAGATAGATTGAGAAAGGAAATATTTATTGAACATTATGCTACAGAGCTTCCATTTGTCTTTTCAAAAGAATAGCAATATAGTAAAGGAGATCCAGGATTTTGTTGTGTTTGTCTCTTGTTTTTCTGTCTACCTGTCTCCTTTCCTACCCTCCCTCCCCCAGCATCTTTGTTTTATGGCAAATGATTTTAGTGCTTCAGCATCTTTACCTGTGAAAAAAAATGATAATAAAATAGCTAAGTACTATATGTCAGGTATAGCAGATGAAGAAACTGGCAAAGAGAGGTTAAATAATTTGCACAAAATTATGTAGCTAGTCAGTGGTATAGCTGCGACTTGAATCCTGGCAAACTAGATCCGGAGATCTTGCATCATACTGCCTTATCTGTAATTGATAAAATTATATAAAAAGGTGATATTCAGATAGATCTTGTTTTTAGGAGAAATCTTATGTTACTAGGTATTAATATCTCAAATTGCTGGGATCGCTTTATAAGGGTCACCAAGAATATAATGGTGGAAGAGAAAATAGAAACCTTTAAATTTAAATAATACTTCTAAATTATTTTTTTACTTCCATTTTTAATGTAAAAATGATAAACATGTTGGAGAAATTATGAAATACTGATAAGAAAATGAAGAAAATGAAAATAAAATCACTCATAATCACACCTTCAGGGATAACTGTTATTTGTGTTTTATGTCAATAGTTATAATTCTGCAACATCATTTTGAATGGCTGTCAACTAAGTATTACCTTAATGGTTTTGTTATCTGACAGCCTGGTTTAATATGTTATGCTCTTTTGGTGGGAGGAGTGGAAGTAAGTATGGTCATCTTTTCAGAACTAAAGTTTGGAGAATTGCAGACAGTTGGCTGGTCTTAGTTTACTCCTCCCATCTGATAAAGGATTGCTTTTGTTTTACATTATTGAGTGCAAAACAATTGCTCTGTGATTACTTTCATCTTTATTGCCTTTTTTTTCTTGATGTGGTTGCAGAGTTTTTGTACCTTTGGAGTTTCTGATACATGAAAGAACATGTAGACCTTCTCTTCAATTGTATATTAGAATTGAAGCAGAATAGCTATGAATTATTGCATGAAAAATGGTATCTGTTAATAATGTTAAATCCTATAGAAAACTTTTTTTTAACTCTCCTTCCCACATTTCTATATTTTTTCTGATATTCCTGTGTTTAGGACCATACCTCAGATGTTGGAGGATTAGAGATACTGAACATAAAAGACTTCAGTAAATTGTAATTATGTGTGCAGCAATGATATCTAGTTCATTACCAATACTCAACAGTGTGATGATTGCTAGTAGCTGTTACTATTTTTTATAAACATTCGTCATTTCTGATTACTTAAGTCATAGCCAATTTCTGTGGGTTTATTATCATATGTATCAGTGCTACTTTGATTTTCTGAGGATTTTGAAGGAAAACAAAAAGACAAGCAGGAATTAGAAGATAAGCAAATATTATTTGGGTAATAGTTTAAGTACCTCATAGCCAAGTAGCCTTATTGTTACCATTATTTGTGATGAAAGATTGAATTTCTTACTGCTATTATTGTTTTTATCTTTCTGCCTAAGTCCTTTTGTTGTTTTCAAATTGAAAATTGATGAGAATAGTTCAATAGTTATATTGGGTATTAGAAAGAATATTTTTTGTGTGTTTCTTTGTAGAAAGAGATAATGGTATAACTTAAGTACTTTCTTAGTATTCAGTGTAAATACAGAATAATTAAATAGAAGCAGGAGACATGAAGTCCTTAATAGCAACTTTTTTTTGGTTATCTTGCTGCCCAGATCATGTTTCAGACAGAGCCCCAGCGTGACCTTCCCACTCTAGAGAATTCTTCCTTTGCTAACACCCTGCAGCAAAGGAAGATTTAATTACTGAAATAGCTCTTTGTTTAAAAACTCGCTGTGAGTTTGATTTTTACTCCCAGATGCCCGATTTCAGTGTCCCTAATCTTACCCCACACTGCCAAAATATTCATCTGGCCTTCTTATTATCATTATTATTATTTTTAGTCTCACCCAAGGACACGTTTATTGATTTTAGAGAGAGAGGAGAGGAGAGAGAGACAAACATCGATCGGTTGCCTTCCTTGTGCGCCCTGACTGGGGATTGAATTAGAAGCCTAGGTATGTGCCCTGTCCAGGAATCAAACCCTCAATTTTTTGGTGCACAGGACAATGCTCCAACCAACCGAGCCAATCTGCCAGGCTGGCTATCTTATTTTTAACTCTTAGGAATGGCACTTTTGAGTCAGTGAATAACAAACCAGTTTGTCAAAACTGATGTTTAGAAACAAGTAAGTTGTGGTCTCTGCCTTCAAGAATCTTAAAATTGGAGACTAGCATGTGACATGGATATGCTCTTCAATAATTGCTTTTAATATATTTTATTAATTGTTACAGAGAGGAAGGGAGAGAGATAGAGAGTTAGAAACATTGATGAGAGAGAAACATCGATCAGCTGCCTCCTGCACCCCTCCTAATGGGGATGTGCCCGCAACCAAGGTACATGCCCTTGACCGGAATCGAACCTGGGACCTTTCAGTCCGCAGGCCGACGCTCTATCCACTGAGCCAAACCGGTTTCGGCAATAATTGCTTTTAAATCATTAGTTTTAAGTCCACTGGCTAATGAAAATTCACTATTATTATTTTTTAAATACATTTTTATTGATTTCAGAGAGGGAGAGAAAGATAGAAACATCAATGATGAGAGAGAATCATTGATTGGCTGCCTCCTGCACGCCTCCTCCTGGGGATGAAGCCCGCAACCTGGGCATGTGCCCTGACCGGAATTGAACCCAGGACCCTTTAGTCCGAAGGCTAGAATAATGCTAGAATATAATTTAAAAATTATTTGTCGAGGTTTCATCCGCTGAGCCAAACCAGCTAGGGTGGTTCACATTATTGATGTCGCATTTTATACAAACTTCTTTCAGTGTAAGTGTAAAATAGTTGTATTTGGTATTTATAAAAGTTTAATGCAGGGGTCCTCAAACTACGGCCCGCGGGCCACATGCAAATACAAATATTGTATTTGTTCCCGTTTTGTTTTTTTACTTCAAAATAAGATATGTGCAGTGTGCATAGGAATTTGTTCATAGGTTTTTTTAAAACTATAGTCCGGCCCTCCAACGGTCTGAGGGACAGTGAACTGGCCCCCTGTTTAAAAAGTTTGAGGACCCCTGGTTTAAGGTGGTGTACCTAGTATATTCATGTATTCAAAACGGCAAGAGGTTTGCAAATGTTTGTCTCTGTGTTTTTGGCACGGGCCGCTTCTGTTGGATGGATTTTGGGGGCTGCACTGCTTGGTTTTGGCACTGCTGCCACTATCCACTCTAGCTCTGCATTTTTTAATAAGGTAAGGAAGTGGCTGGTATCCTTTGTCCCGCAGGTAGAGATTAAAGTGGCCTGGAGTGGTGGGCAAATCCCAAGGTATAGGGAGCCTCCATATTATCATTCCAGCCTCGTAGGTGTCCTCTTGCCTTGTCCTCCCCCACAGAGCTCAGCCATTTTATTTGCATTTCTTTCAACATGTATTTCTCCCACATCTGCCTGCTTTTGGGAATGCGGTTCCTTTTATTCTGGCTGGACTGCCCTTCTTTTCCCCACCCTCATTTCTTAAGTGTTGGAGCCAACTCTTTCCCTGATCTGTACCCCCTTCCCAATTTGTTAGATACCATTTCAGTGTCCTCTGTAGTCCTTATTATAGCCCTCATAAAAAAATATTGTTCTGGTCAGTTTTCAGGCCTTTCTTCCTCATCAGAGTGCATGACCTCTTTGAAGATGCACTAGTTTCAAAACTATTTTTAAGTTTCTACCACCTAGTATAGTGCCTAGTGTATATTACACACAACTTTTAACCCTTTGCACTCCGAACCATTCTGGACATTGGCTACCAGCTACTCGACGCTACTTTGCGGTGGAAACGTGCATTTACAGACCCTCGTATTATTTAGTATAATTTTGGAACCAAGTAACGTATTATAATGATATTGGACTTATATGAATTGGGTGACATCGAGGAATGTATATTTGCAAAAAAAACAATATTTTATTGTTTATAATTTTGTACAGTATGATAAGTTTTGTAACACTCCCCAATATGCATTGCAGGCTGATTAGTGCATGTTTGACAGTAATAAGTGGTTTGACGCCTGCCACCAGGTGTTTTCCTGTTAGAACACACAATGCAGTCCCGTTTTCTTTGTCCCACATCGGGAATATGTAGTTTATTGTTTAATCCGACACAAAACCCGCTGACATTTCTTGTATATATCTTAGTAATTTTACGATATTTTGATTTAATTTCTTGTGCCATTTCAAGATAAAACTTCAGGGAAACATGCATGTCTCAAAAAGTTGCGTTGAAATAACTCAATTCCCCGTAATCACTAATAAACTGCGATGTCCCCTGAGAGGGGACAGCGGAGTGCAAAGGGCTAAAAAACCATATCAATGACATCTTTAAGTGTTTTCACAATGGTAGGTGGAGATATGAGTGATTCTCTTCATTCTGCTCTAATTTCCCCCTTCTGGGGAAATATGAATAGATGGTTCCTGTGCACAGAAAGGTTTGGGACACCTGTTTATTGGATTTCTATTTCACAATTTTGTAGAGACCTTGTTTTACCCTTCTTTCAAGGATTGGCATATGCCTGGCACATGTAAATTGTGTTCCGGTAGCAGTGAATGAGAGTAACATTTCCCTCATCCCCACCACCGTTGCACTACTAAGAATAATAATCATGAGAGCTTCTTGGGCTTTTGTATTTATACCAAGTAAATATTTTGGAAGATTCTCCCAAAGAATTTCTTTCCTTTGGCATAGAGTGCTTGCTTCCATTGCCATCAACCTTTTTTTCTCTTTTATTTTAAAAGAAAAAAATAGTATCTTTTATGTTAAAATTTAGAATGGAGCTCTAATAAATGAAATTTAAAAATTAACAGTCGTGTGAAAAGTAATGCTAGAATATAATTTAAAAATTCTTTGTCAATAAATGTGTTTACAGTTACAATACTAAGTTTTAAAATACTAATAACTTACTAGGAAAATACTACTTTCTCCAAGATGAGCACGGATTATAATCTGTAAAGGAGGACAAATTGAGATTTGTAACTCCAATCGAATTTCTTGTTTCTTAGTTATCTTTCTGATATTTTAATGCAGATATTAAACTGATAAATTAATGCAAATAATAAACATGTTTGGGAGGCATATGCCATACGTGGAGCTGTAAATATCCTATAGATTCCAGAGGTAGATTGAATTTTTACCTATTATTCTTACCAGATTTAGTGCTTTTCTCGTGAAGTCTGTTAGAGAGCTATGCCAGGGGTTTTTCTTTCTGGATTATTTCAAGGTGGAGAATTTTTCCCAAAGAGTAAATAGTAGTATCCAACTGTTAGTGAATCTGAAGAATATGCCTTTATTATATCGTTATTGTTTTTGAGCATTTATAGGTCAAACTATTATAAGCATAAGTTATATGTTACGACAATTTCGAACATTCTTTTTAAAAATTTTATTTATTTTGTTAATCCTCACCCAAGGATATTTTTTCCCATTGATTTTTTAAAAAATTTTATTTTATTGTTTAAAGTATTACAAATAGTAGTACATATGTCTCCTTTTTTTCCCCATTGACCTTCCCCTGGCCTCCTCTACCCCCCCCCCCCCATTGATATTTTAGAGAGAGTGCAAGGGAGGAGGGGAGAGAGGGAGAAAGAGAGAAAAAAAACACCTATATGAGATAGACATCAATTGGTTGCTCCCTCATGGGTCCCCATTGGGGCGGTGGATGGAATCTGCAACCCAGGTATGTGCCCTTGACCGGGGATCGAACCTGAGACCCTTCCATACAAGAACCAATGCTCAAAACATTCTTTATCATTTTATCAGTAAACTAGAAGCCCATCGCACGAAGATTCGCGCAATAGGCCTTCCTTCCCCTGGCTGCTGGCACCGGTTTTCCTCCGGCACCCGGGACCCAGGCCTTTGGTCTGGCCGCAGCGGAGAAGCCAAGCCTCGAGGCTAGGCTTCTCCCCTCTGGCCGCAGCAGAGAAGCCAAGCCTCTTCAGTCTTCAGTCTTCAGTCTTCAGTCTTCAGT